GCATAGTCTACTGTAGCCATTGCTTTGCATACAGCCCCATATAGCCAAAATCACAGCCTACTGCAGTCATTGTTTTGTACACAGCCTTTGTACAAAAAAGTCTTTACAAATTTGGTTTTATTAAGCAAACTTTAACTTATATAGCCGTATACAGCCCAAATTGTTATACCAAGCCATACTAGCCACACTAGCCATACCCAACCTACTTTAAGGTTATACATTAGATCACACAAAAGCCACACAAGCTGCACAAGCTATAGTTGCCACGGCACAATACTAGAACCCCAGCTCTAGTCTGTTACCCTGGTTATAAGCATTCTATATTATTTTATATTTGAACCTCATTTGCTAAAAATTTCACTAAGTCTTTTGAATTAGTATTACTAAGCAAATTTGCTAATATTATACCTACCTTAAGCACTACAAAACCAGATACTGTAGATCTTGACTATTTTTATAACAAATATTGCAATAGCTTTGGTATCAGAATTTATGAAGATTCTTCTAATATTTCTAGACCAATCTCAAAAAATACAAGACCAACTGAATATACCTCTACAGAACTTAAAAATGTAACCAAAATCTGCTATTACTTCGAAGTCCCAAATACTTCAGCTATTATTAAATGTTTATGCGGCAAATACCATACTCACTTTATTTCTAAAGAAAACAAGAAATATAGTAAACCTGCCAACATCAAAATTGTTAGCCATAAATCTTGTATAGAAAATCTCTTAAACCCACAATGTGAATTCTCTAAAAATATAGGCACTGTATTTATCTTTAAACTAAGACAATCATTCAATAAATTTTGTGCTTATAATCTTTTAGCTTCAGAACTCAGTTCTTTAACACCTTTTCCCAAAAGCTCAGATAAAATAGATATAACAAAGATATCCTGTTAGAAGCAATCCTAATATGACCAACTATTACCATGAATTTACCTACATAGAAAAGTTAGAATTATCTAAATCTAAGTTAACTGAAACACCTAATACTCTTCAATACCAACTATCCCAACAATTACTGCCATTACCATATTCCCAACCTTTTGCTGAATATTCAGCTAAATCTACTCTTACTTAAACTCTCAACACCCAACAATAACAATTTTAGCAAACAACACAGCAACAGACCCAACAGCAACAGCCAGTTAGTAACTCCAACAATACTCATACTAGTACTGATAACTCTCAACAAGACCAAAATATTTCTTCAAAAGAACCAACTTAATATTTCAACAGTTACCCTATCAGGATAACACCGAACAACAACAATCATTAACTGATGACACATCAATAACCTTCACAACAATTTCAACAAGCTAATGACCAAAATCCTACTGCAGAT